GCAGGTTCAAAAACCTGCACAGGTCTATTCCCACCCACATTCCGGTCTACCTGCGCAGGCATACCTGCGCAGGCATACCTGCACAGGTGGACCTCTCCGGTAGACCGTAGCGTGTATGGCCGGCATTATGTCGTCAAGTTTTGGGATATGTATTAATGTTATTATGAAACCAGCGTCAACGTATGTATTGTATTATTATATATATATATATGCTCATGGTTTTTGGTTCATGGACTTTGCTTTTAATACGTGTGCCTTTACTAAGACATCATGGAACATTACTATGTAGATTGTAACCTAACTTAAGACTAATAAGTAATTTAAGTCTAGTCTTACAGTCTCTATTAAAGGGAAGACACACTGTTCTTGTGTTCTATTATATCATTTACCAAAACTTGACGTGAGTATTTTAGAGTTGGTTAAACTAAAAAATAAAATAGCAGTCTATATAATTAAGTTGGTGTCCAGAGAAGTGTGTCTAGCCCTAATCTTGAACGTGAATATTGCAAGTTCTGACCAAGTTGTTTAAATCACTAAGTCCGAAGTTGCTGACGTTAAACTTGTAAATTGGATTAGCGCCGTCAACAATGTGCGGCTGGCTCATGAAAATGTAAAAAGCTACTAGAATACATTATTGTATAAGTTATTATAAAATAAGCAGATTATATAAATACATTTTCAGATAATTTTTATCGCCGCCATTCCCTTGATTTGTTCATTGTAACTAACGAAATTCGAAATTTGATTTCCGGTTTCTGATTTTGAATTTAATCAGACAGGTAGTTACTCACCTGCGCCCGTACTCTTATTTCTAATATCAACAGCGATACTGACGTTCCATGTCGACGTTTTTGTATGCAAGTTTGTTGTAGTTTTTTTTAATTTCCGTAGCGCTGATGACGTAACCTTGGTACAAAAGGTCATTATCGGGATCGGACGTTACAAAGTAATGTTTCTGATTGATCATATACCACAAGAAAGTCGGCCTTAGTTTCTTACAAATATATATATATGGAAACAACTTATCGCAAGGAAACTTACCGACAAAAGCCCTTTTATAAAAAAAAAAGTTTATATATATATATTACTACTTAATAAAAAAATATAATGTATAGAAGGTCGTAGCAGCACACAATTTTATTATATTATCAATCTTATTTGAAGGCAGATTATACTCTTGTAAACATATTTATTTTTATGTAAATACGATTTCCCGACCTCAATTATTTTCAGAAGTCTTAACTTCATTACAGCATCGTTCAAAAGTGTTTGTAAGAATTAAAGCGAAACGGCAAAATATTTAATCAGAGAGCCCCGAGGGTGGAGACTCATTACTGAGTGCTTCAGACCTGAGACACCTTTGCGATCATTATAATATAATCTATAATAAGATATTAAATAAATTTCAAATTATTTTTATAATTGTCTATCGTCTGTACAATTACTTAAGTAATATAATTTGATAAAATAATCATGTTATTTATCGATATTTATGATATAATTTTTATATATGTTTTAGATGTAGGTAATCTGCGAACGAATTTCAGTTAAGCATTCATTTCTTTAATACTTTTAGAAGTGATGTACATTAAGGTTTACTGAACAAAGGTTAGAAGAACCACAAGACAAAGTTTTTATCAGTGTCACTATAATAACTATTTTATATTAGATATAATATATTAGGTCCTTACATATGAAATTGGCGTATTTCGTACTGGCCACTTTAATCACGATGTTCTCCTCTTTGGTAAGGAATTCCAAATTCAAATTTGTACAGCTATTTACTTATGTATTTGTGCTTCGATGACCGTCATTCATTTGTTTTTTTCTGTTTGCGTCACTCATTTTACAAAATGGAAAACTTAAAGTATAGCATTATTTACGAGTACGAGTTCCGCCGTGGCACTAGTGCTGCGGAAACGACTCGAAGGGTGAATGATGTGTATGGCGGTCATGTTGCAAAAGAAAACACAGTTCGTTTTTGGTTCCAACGTTTTCGTTCTGGAAATTTCGACCTGCAGAACAAGCCCCGTGGACGGCCTGAGACCCAAGTTGATAATGAAGTATTGAAGGCTATTGTGGAAGCGGATCCATCGCAAACCACGTCCGAGTTAGCTGCAGGCTGCGGTGTTAGTGATAAAACTGTTTTAATTCACTTGAAGCAAATTGGGAAGATTAAAAAGCTTGAAAGATGGGTACCTCACGAATTGACTGAAGCAAACCGGCAAACGCGCGTCGACTGCTGCGTTACATTACTGAACCGGCACAATAATGAAGGTATTTTAAACCGAATCATTACCTGTGATGAAAAATGGATTCTTTACGATAATCGGAAGCGCTCAGCGCAATGGTTGGATCCTGGCCAGCCAGCCAAATCCTGCCCCAAGCGAAAATGAACCGCAAAAAAGTAAGTTGTAAGCGTTTGGTGGACTAGTGCCGGTATTGTTCATTGCAGTTTTCTCAAATCTGGCCAGACTATTACGGCTGATGTCTATTGTCAGCAATTGCAAACCATGATGGAAAAGCTAGAAGCTAAACAACCTAGGCTGGTCAATCGCTCCACGCCACTGCTACTTCACGACAACGCTAGACCACACACTGCACAACAGACGGCTACCAAATTAGAAGAGCTTCAATTGGAATGTCTAAGACATCCTCCGTACTCCCCGGACCTTGCTCCAACAGATTACAATTTTTTTCGAAATTTGGACAACTTGCAAGGGAAAAAATTTAACTGTGATGGGGCAGTCCAAATCGCCTTCACAGATTTTATTGATTCCCGTCCGACTGGTTTTTTTTAGTAAAGGGATCAATGAACTACCTATGAGATGGCAAAAGTGCATAGAAAACAATGGTTCATACTTTGATTAATTAAATATATTATATTTAAAAATATTCGACTTTTTGTTCCTCCCATACAAAACGCCAATTTCATATGTAAGGACCTAATATTAAGAGCGCCCTTCCCCGTCCGACGAACGGCAACGCCAGCATGGCTAAAAAGCTTGTTGTTTCATCCAGCGCAATGTCAGAACAAGAGGTAAAGCGAAAAGAGATAGCATAGATAGATAGCGAACCATTCATAAAAATGGCTAACAAGCAAGTGAGAACGCGATAACATTGAAAGAACAATAGTGTGCGGAAATTTCATAAAACTTGTTCCAAGAAATACGTGTTTTTTCGTAAGCCTTAGAAGATTATGAAAAAAAAGTTTTACATTTAGAAACTCCATTACATTTGCAAGGTTTCTAAGCAAATATTTCTTTCCGGTTACAATTAATGAGTACATTATAAATGCCCAAACTTCATATAAAATTTGTGCAAAAAGGCTGATTTTTGGAGGTTTGTAATGAATTTGTTTCTTAAAATTTTGATTTCGCGTTTTAATAGAAACCTAGATATAGAGTGCACAAGATGCCTATTAGTTCAAAAGTTTCAAAGAAATATCTGTTACAACGCCATAATCGCGTACGAGTGTTTGTATGAAAAGATAGACGGGTTGGCCGCTCTTAAATTAATAAAGTCACATGCGCTTTATGCTCGAGGCCCACCTTGCGATGATGATGATGCGACTTGTTGTAATAATAAAACGAATGAGTTGCAGGTTGAGAACAAAGAGACTTTATTAGTTGTACAATGTACAGACTACATACTAGCACAGACTACAAGTAGCACAGACTGATATCAAGTAGACTATTTTGATACAAGTAAACATATCTTAACAGCACCACTTATCAAAATAATCAAATACTAAGCAGTAATAAAACTAACAACTTTGACAATTTTAAACATTTTGAATTCCTAATAATTTTATAAGATAGTTATGTTTGGCAGCACTCAAACTTTTCGTTAATATATCAGCAGGCATCTCAGATGTTGAAAGATATTCAATTTTAACAAGGCTATTAGAGACTGCTTCGCGTATGAAGTGGTAGCGAACATCTATATGTTTAGTTCGTTTGTGAAACAAAGGATTCTCTGTCAACTTCTTGGCTCCCTGGTTATCATTGTAAATTACTACAGTATAGTTACAACCAATAATATCTGATATAAGACTTTTTAAATATATTGCCTCTTTACATGCTTCAGCAATGGCCATGTATTCGGCCTCGGTACTTGACAAAGCTACCGTTTGTTGCTTCCTACATTCATAGGATATCACACAGCCTGACAATTTAAAACAAAATCCTGTGTAGGATTTCCTATCTACAGTATTCGACGCCCAATCAGCATCTACAAAACCTTCTAAATTACAGGTATCTTTAGTAAACTTCAAACCATAAGATTTAGTTTTTGCAAATATTTTAAAATTCTTTTTACATGATGCCAATGAACTGAACTAAAACAATTATTAAACTGGCTAAGGTAGCTCACACTATATGATATATCTGGGCGTGTTAATACTGACAAATACATAAGATTTCCTATAAGCTGTGGATAGGGAAACTGTTTGTCAACACATTCTGCCTTTTCTAATTTCAAATTACATTCCATAGGAGTATCTTTAGTATTACAATCAGTCATATAAAACTTTTTAAGAATTTGTTTTACAAATTGTTCCTGATCAATAGATATACAGTTATTTTCACATTTCACTCTCATGCCTAAACACCTTTTAATTTGACCTAAGTCTTTAATTTTAAATTTAGACATAAGTTTTTTCTTAAGATCATTAGTCATAGTTTTACAATTAGAAAAAATAAAGAAATCATCAACAAATATTGCAATGATAATCTGCTCATTCTTACATTTTTTACTGTATAAACATGGTTCTGATACTGACTTTTTATAATCTAAATCTATCAAAAAATCGTTTATTCTAGCATTCCATGCCCTAGCAGACTGCTTCAAACCATAAACTGCCTTTTTAAGTTTAAGAACACAATTACTCGGACAATTTAAATTAGCAGGTGCTTGCATGTATACATTTTCTGTTAAAAAACCATTTAAAAATGCTGTAACTACATCAAGATGAGTGATTTCAAAATTATATTTTACACTTATTGGTTTTTGAAGTGGCCAATTTTCTTGCACTTATAGCATTTTATAACCTTCTTGGTATTTGACATATGATTAGATGTTTGTTTCGCGCCTTTTCTATTCAAATTTTGACCAAACTTACTTTTATGCTTAGACAATAATGCAACTTCCGAGTCATGGTCACCGACCTCAGAACTCATATCAAGCAATTTTGTTTTGATGACATCAGAGTTTATAGCTATACCGGAATGTTCTATTGCCATGATCATAGGCGCAAACTTTTCTGGTAGCCCCGCCAACAATAATGATCCAGTCCATTCCTCATTAATCTCGAATCCTGTACCTTTCAGTCTTTGTGCAGTTTCCACAATTTGACTCACATAACTTGTCATGGACTCACAATTATCAAGTCGAATGGATATTAATGTTCTTAGTAGACTGATTCTTCTGGTGAATCCGCTGTCATCAAATAATTTCTGTAGTTTCTGCCACAAATCTTTGACTTTAGTTTCATTTTTTATATGAACATACAACTTGGGATCAATCGTCATGATGAGTTTTGCTTTCGCTTTTCTGTCTTCTGCATCACTTAAATCCACAGGAATGGCATCGATGTCTATACCTTCCAAGATGAGAAAATTTCTTGCCGCGAACGCCCAGTCATCAAAGTTCTCGCGTCCCTTCAACTTCGGCACATTTATTAAATAACTGCCTGACGACGACATTATATTTTATTTTCTTACACACGATATGAATTTACTGTAATATTATTTAATTAGTTTTTCACTGGGCCCATAACCTAATAAAACGAATGAGTTGCAGGTTGAGAACAAAGAGACTTTATTAGTTGTACAATGTACAGACTACATACTAGCACAGACTACAAGTAGCACAGACTGATATCAAGTAGACTATTTTGATACAAGTAAACATATCTTAACAGTAATAATTCTATTCTTTATGTATTTTTGAAGTTATACTTCTTTAGGCGCGTTATGAAAAATTGATGGGAGTGAAATTTTACGATGCGCGCGCATCTGAGACACAAAGTTGTCCGTGTGATTATAGCGTGCGCGAGCGAGATAGGAATAAGACAATCTACAAGTAAAAAGAAATAGAATATGCGTGAAGTTAGCAGCTATGCCAAGAATTTTGAATGACCATAGTGACATTTACCTTTTAAACAAATAAAGGAGTTTTAATTATTATTTTTTTAATTATGTGGACTAATGTGACAAACCACGTGGACTATACTCAATTTAATATTAACTATCTTTAACATGTACATTAAAAATGTAGTCTATCATTTTAAATTACAGATAGAAAATTATAAACAAGCTTTTTTGAGACGTTTTGACAATCAACACATTTTTATACAGATTTGTTCTCAAACCACGATCAATGTTAAAAAAATGATAATTATGTCTATTACATAACATATATAAAATGATAATTTTAAAAAATCTGTGGAAAATTTTGGAGAAAAAAATAAAGAGAAGTCTACAAAGAGGTTTGTTGAAAACTAAACTTCAAAAGTGGGCATAGAGCCGGGGAAAACGTAGTTACCTAACGATTTCGTGACTAAGCACAAACGAGGGACACTTCTTGCGCCGCAAATTAAACAAGTTTTGAATTCGAAGTGACTTGGAAAAGTTAATAATTAGTTAAATGTACCAATTTCAATGTTTTGAAAAATGAAAATAATGTTTATTACGTATAAATGCTATGTACAATAATAATAATAACGCGACTTTAAATCCATACTGTTTAAAATTACATATCAAATGGGTGATAATTTTGTTGTATACTCTTCTAGTCTAGTTACGTTACTTCCGTTATTTCCGCGTCTTTGAGTTCTGCAGTATGAATCTCTTTTGCGTAAAAGCCTCCTCCTGAACTTTCCACTTGTATCTATTCTTAGCTTCCTTCATCCATTTCTCCCCAGAAACCATAACCACGTGGTCCGAGCATCGCTTTTCAGGTCTTCTCACGTTTCTTTTTCCTGGACGTCCCATCATGCGGGGGCTTCGGTATATTTATTTAGTTATCAAGCCCACGATATCACACACAGTCCTAAATCAAAATTGAATTGAAAAAAAAAAAAAATTATTTCACAAAATCTTACATCCAAAATGTGCGACAATCAATGCAAGCATATGTTTCTAAAAAAAAAATCAAATTGAAATTAAAAAAAATACAACTAAAACACACACGACAATACACACATTAAAATAAAATATTTTTTTTTAACATAAACATAAAATGAAATAAAATTTTCAATAAATTTCATTAAAATGAAATTTGTTGGCACTAAGCAGAAAAAAAAGAAAAATCATCAGGTATATAAAGTTTGTAATCTCTTATTGGCTTATGAGCCAGAATTTTTTGGGGTACGTTTATAGATCTAAAACCTTTCAAGATTTATAACAATTATTATTTAGAGGCAGCACTTTGATATCAAACAACAATTAAAAAAACAGCATACATACACTAATAATATGTTTTTCAGTATCTTCGATTATAATCACGAGTGGCAGTAGTAACTTTTTACATTTTCCGTAAATTTGAACCTTAATGATTTATTTAAATTAAACTTATGTTCCTTACAATATTAATTAATCCTAGTAAGAGGTACGATGGGTAAGCCAAAGGTTGTCAAGACTGAAGTAAAACAGTTGCTTGTCATACATAGATTAAGAAACATGTCTATTGCTTGGCTATACCGCATCTGCTATAGAGATTCTACGAACAACACATCCGAAATAAGTGAAAAGTACGGAGAAATTGCAATACGCATAGTTATTTTCCATTCCCAAAGTGTATGCGGGCGAAGTTAACAAAAATACGTGCGGCGAATGTCAAGTGCGAAGTTAAAGTTACTTGAAAAAACATAAACTTGGGAAGAAAATTTCGTTGCACGGAGGAATTTGAGGTAGTCCTTGGGAAGCCATGAATTTAATTTACTAATGAGAAATGAACTTACACTTTGCGGTGTTTTCAGAATTTTTTTAAGTGTCAAGTTTCTCATTTATGTAAGGGAAAAAGATCGCGTAAATATAACGGCAATTATATTTACGCCAGTGAGGAGATAAAATGAGTATGAGTAAAATCCTATGACTATTAGAAACAATTTACTTTGTTTTTATAAAAGAAAAGCAAAAATGTGAGCAGGGTTGGCCTAGTGGTTTCAACGTGCGACTGTCATTACTGAAGTCGTAGGTTCGATCCCTACGTGTGCACCAATGGACCTTCTATCTATGTGCGCATTTAAGAATAGCAAGAGTGAATGCTCAGTAAGAGGAAAACATCATAAAGAAACCGGCATGATGACCGGCAAAATGATGTCGTATCTACAGCACAAAAGAAATCACCTACTTGTTAAGAAAAATAAACGATCACGAAGCTCATACAGAAATCGGAGGCCCAGACCTAAAAGATTGTAGCACCACTACTTTTAATGTAAAATGCACAAAGATCCAACAGTTTAAATGGTTAAACTTTCATTTATGTAAGGGAACTATACCAAAATACTAACATAGATTTTAACACAATTTAATTTTCTAGTTAGTTTTTAATAACGCAAACATAAAATAAGTTTCAAGTGTCACACAATTTAATTAAAACGTTTAAGCTCTGAACTATAAACAAAGCTGTATAAAGCGGTGCACATACGAGCGATTTACGACGCGACTAAAAACTTCCGTCGTTAATAAGTTACGGCATGACAATCTGCGCCCTAACATTTAGAGCGGACGTTCATCTAGTATGTGTTCTTCTGTTAATTGCAATAATAATTATGTTAAGAATGTCGCACTTTATTACTAGTATTATAATTACATTAGTAATAAACTTTGATTGTCAATTGTAAAATAATATGAATAATAAACAAAAGCTATTTTAAAAAGTTATTGAAAAGTTTTCGTAATGAATAAAATATTATTGTTCGTGATTTGAATTAGGTTTTTGTAGCGTATTACTATTTCAATTATATTAAAGTAAAAATTCTATAATAGTATTCTTATAATCACTATTTCATATTAAATATAAAGCTAACGGACCAAACGCACTTAATGATGAGTAAGTTAAAACTCTAGTCATATATCAGTAAGACGTATTGTCAAAAGGTTCAATCACATAAATATCCGTATTTAATTGTCTAAATTAATTACGTGTTTAACGGTACCCACGCATGCAACTCGATTCGCAAGGGGCCGCGAACAAATGGTCGCTATCATTACTGACTGACCGACGTACGTGCACCAAAGAAATTGTACCAATTGTGGCCAAACGCCGTGTTTAATATTCTAGTGAAAGTCGTTAGCTTTGCGTTTGACGCGGGATTTATGTGTTCGTGTGGTCGAGCCTTAATTTAATTGTAGTTTGATGAAGTTGGACATGAGATTAGTAAGATTAAGCAACTTTATTACTATTTGTGTTTTATATTTATATTGGCGTATTGTTTTGTTTTATTAGATGTCTGATTTTCTGTAGAATTAATAATAATAACGCTACAACCCTAAACGTGTTGGCCATAGATTGCATCCGTTTTTCGATAATTTTTATTTTATAGATAAGAAGGTGATGGTACTTCATTCGTCATCAATTTTGCGTTTTGACATATACCGGTTTTGTTATGATGTTTTCCTTCACCGTTGAAGCAAGAGCTAATTGCGCCCAAATTCCATTGGAGCACTCAAATGAACACACGACCTCAGGGATGAGGGTCACACGCTAAAGCCAGTGCTCTTTTTAAACAGGCTTCCGTAGAATGATGATATAATCCTAACGGTCTAAGAATAAAAATATTCACCTATTGAAAGGATTTTTGGAAATTCTACGTAAGAAGTGAAGCTACAGTCAATTTAAGGCCGATAACGCACTTGCGAGCCTTCTGGCAATGTGAGTGTCTATACGACGGTATCAGTGATACCGCCCGTTTGCCCCTGTTATATAAAAAATGTCAATAGTCCAAAAGGAAAATTTTATAATATTGTTATACCAAGGCACGGACACACAAATTCATATTTTAATATCAGACGTGTGTCTAGGAATAATAGAGCAATAAAGTACATCTCAAGAACTATGACTAAACAAACAACACGGCTATTAGCAACATAAATACACTAGCGGACACGAAAACTCCATAACTATGCCTTATTTAAATTTATTGTGCTGCACTTTAATACACTCGCGGGTCGCGTATTCTGTGGAGACCGTTGAACTTTGCGGTCGGAGTTCGCACTTGGAACTAATAAAGCGAGCGAATGATGGGTATAATTTCGTGGCCTGTTGTGTAAATTGTTGACAGATTGTTTGACCTTATGTTACGAGAATATTTTTACGATTGTTTCGGAAGTCCGATATGTTATTGGGTATCTTATGGATAAGTTATAAAAAGCGTTATGTGAGTGATTTTAGCTTAATAGGTTCAGATAGTAACTCATTTTTTTTTAACAGTTCTGTTTTGTTTATATTGAAAATATTACTGTATAATTTTAAAATAGAGACATAAATATGTGGAAAGGCGGCAAATGTTTTAGTTATATTTGATTACACGATAGAAGGTACTTCGTCATAATTTGAGCCAAAGAAAAAGTGTAAAATAATGATTTTTTGTATTGTTTATATATACCTACGTCCTACACTGTTTTGATTTGTAGGTTTCAAAGCGGCCGACGCTGGCCGACACAGGCCTGCCAATAAGCGTGGGGGCAATTATGTCAGA